TATGGTTGCTGTCAATAGAGGATAAAAAAAGAATAAGAATATATATGGTTAGAATAGATATTGTTATAATGATATAGTAAAAAATAAACTTACACATTTCTGTAGAAGTTTTCATGCATTGATAAAACTCATCGAATGGTGTATAAACTTGTTCAATTGGAGCCAGTGTGGTGTCAACATTGTCAATTTCGTGGATTCTGGTCTTAGCATTTAGAATCCAAGTGTAGTTGTATTTTTGATCTACAACTTTGAATTCAGATCGCGCGGGTCTGACTCCGGCATTTGAAATACTGTACCATGGGTTTGGTTTTAGAAACATATCATACATTGAAATGTCACCATCAAACACTGTTGCTTGAACTCGAGTTCCCTACATTTAAATATATCATTTATAATTATGCATTTGATTAATAATAATAATAATAATAATAATAATAATAATAATAAGAGAGAAATAAGAGAGATAATGTTTTATGAATTACTTACACTTTCATCTTCAAGGACAATGAGCATGTACTTTTTCCCCTTTGTTGCAATAGCAAATTTTGGTTCATTTTTCTTGATGAGACGAACTTTACAACTCCAATTCTTTGTTTGTGTATCAATATCAATTAAATTGAGTTCTTTTTCCATGTCTAATATCCTGGTTCCATGGTTCATAAACAATGTTATCACATAATACTTTTAAAAAAAAATATTATCACATAATATACTATTTTTTTTTTGAAAACATCACATAATATACTTTAAATTCAAATGTATAAATTATAGAGTAAAGATAATATGAATTCATAGATTAGGTAAGGATGAGAATGAAAACATGAGATACGAAATAAGAATCAAATAAGAATCATGAGTATCAAATAAAGTTGAAAGAAAACACAAACTATGAAATAAGAATTATGAATATGTTAAAATAATTGGTGTAATAATTCACATATTATTAATATTTGTAATTATAAGGTCTGGTATGATTAAAACTAAATACGGGATATAAGGAGAACAAACAAAGATTAGAGCTTAATATATTAAATATACTTAGGCAAAATGCAATACAAATTGCCAAGAATGAAGTTTAATCATAGAATGAGAAAGGGGAAAAACAAGAAGGGATTTTTTTTGGTTTTAATATTTGATTTTAAAAAAAAACTAACCTTTTCTAAATGGGGTATTTGAAATCGCGGGATGAAGAAGAAGAATTTTGCAGAAAGCTACTATTCCGGAGGCCTATGATACTGAAGCTCGGAGCGGAAGGTGGTTCCTATGACTGTTCAACCTGATGCGAGTAACATGGACAATAGCTATTATGATCCTATGAGTGTTTTTATATTAAATATGATTTCCACTGCATTGGTTCCTGAAACTGCATTTTCTCTATTTGTAATTGCAGGCCAATGTTAAGGCTTCCTTCTATTATGATGAAATGCATTCTTTCTCATGTGAAGAGCATCCATTTAAAGATAAACAGTGGGAAGCTTGATGACTATGCGACAGTTTATAATTTTTATGAAAACGGATGAAAGGTGAGACTGTAAAATCTGTGGCGGACATTTTTTCTACCCATTATAGGCCTAACTCTCTTGGGCTCTTATTAGTATAGTAGATAGATAGATATTAAAGGTGGTTGGTCTTAACAGATACGGGGTTGGAGAAGTTATAGGTTAATGGAGGTTGGGAGGAACATACCTGTAAAAAGTTGTTGTGCCTGAGCAGATGCAAAATTCTTCCGTGATGTTGTGTTGTAGAATAATTTAGGTTTGTACTTCTAACCACTGGGCAATGACTTAATATATAGACTAATGATGTAGTTATAATTCTATAAGGATTTGGGTTTGAGTTCCATTAAGATTTTAATATATAAGGATTTGGGTTAGAGTTCCATTAAGATTTTAATATTCGAAATTAGTCTAATGGTGTAGTTTTAATTCTATAAGAATTTATGGGTTAGAGTTTTATTAAAACTTTAATGTTACAATTTTATAAGGATTTGTATGTTTTTCTTTTGAAGTAAGATCAGTTTCTACTAATTTTATAAGGATTTGTATATTGCAAGTGGCTGTGTAGGATTTTGTATTTTTATCAGTTGTTTTTGTGTAATAAAGGAAGATAAATAAATATAGAACCAGGTACTGGCGCTGTCCAATTTTCCAAGACCACATCCGCACGTCATTCTGGATTATTCCCTTCATTTGCCATCTTCCAACTGACAAGGTAATTAAAGGAATGTTGAGCCATAATATCACATGCAAAAGGTATCCCATTCCACACTTTTGCATTCCTACTCCCCCATAATCCCCAGCAAATAATAACAAATTGATCCCTCTTATCCACATTCAATGCAGCTAATGAACCAAAAATCCATTCAACAACATTACCATGACTATGGTGAACAGCAGGCAGACCGAAACCAATCCAAAAAGAGGCTATCACAGGACAATTCACAAATAAGTGGAAGGAAATTATGGCGTAAAAGAGGCGGAGGCGGTTTGTGTGTGTGAAGCTTTGAGCTGGCTAAAAGGAACCGGAATGGGGGAGGTCGATGTTGAGACTTACTCGCAGTTGGTTTACCATGCTTTATGTTCAGACTCTTTCAATTCTGTTTTTTCTTTAATAATTGATGATATAAAAGAAATTGCATCTTCTATGCATGATGTACACTTCTGTTTTGCTAGGCGATCTGCGAATCGTGCTGCCCACATTGTATTTCCTCTGAGTTAATTCATTAAGTTTTTCTCTTCAAAATAAATAAATAAATAAATATATATATATATATATATATATATATATATATATATATATATATATATATATATATATATATATAGAACCAAGTTAAGTGTAGTTGTGAAGTCTCTTTCTTTTCCTCAAAAGTGCTAATTTATGCTTTTCTAGAATTTGGAGTTGTGGATACCATTTCTTGTCTGGAATTAAGGAAACAATTGTTTGATCGCAATGGGCCTCCCTCAAAGTGTAAGTGATCAAAGGTTTAGGCTTCCTTGTACATGTACAAGCACACATAATAATGTTCAAAATTCATAGTTTTCTATTAAAATCTTTTCTATAAGATGATTTTCAATTCACAAGGAGTTTCAGTCTCATAGCCTCTAAACATTTAGTAGGTAAATTGTGAATATTTGAACCTGACTCCACCTTGCAAGGTAAGGTGGAGCCGAGTTCACATAATAATTTACCTAATATGAATTGAGTTTTTCATCAAATCATGTGATTGCAAAAGCCAAAAACGAAATGTCAAAACGACATACTACTATATCTATTAGTTACTTTGGAGGCTACGTACAAACTCGTACCACTCAATTTAATGCCGAAGACGACATATATATTAAGCATTTCAACTTGTCAACCATCCACCAATTCCAAATAATATTTATATCACAAACCGAACACAACATACTCTTATTTCACTATTAAATGTCTGATTAATGTTGGCAATTTATCTATAAATAACTACAATAATGACATAGTTGTGAATACTAATAAAACCAACATTCAACAAAATGACAGGTCCCAACTACAATATAAAACTTTCAAAAATCAAGGCATCATGGTTTCATTACTCTTCAATACAATATTTCGACCTATAACAACCGTGTTATCATTTTCATCTCTCAGTTTGATTATTTGTAGAAGTCCCAGATTATGAAGTGTTGCCTGCTAACCTTGTTGCCTGAGTTTCAGAAAGATTGGAATCTTCCTGTAAGGTGAAGTTAATGTTAAATGCAGTGCACATATATGAAAAACAATAACAATAACAATAAATAAATATTTGATTCTACTTTCTCACTAACATCCAAAACATTACTTTCATAAGTTAAGATTCCATAAAGATCTCAGCAGCAAGAGATAAAATAAATTTGAAGAATTGCTACTTCATAGGGAAATGCTAAATATAGAATGAGAACAAACAGAATCTTAGTAACAGAATACCAACATATGCATAAGCAAATTAACAAAAAAATATTTCCCACAATATTGATAAACCTAATTAATGATAAGCTTATCACCTGGCTACCAGTGTCCATGCAATTCAAATGAGTATTAGTGGCAGTACTCCAGAAACGAATGCATCGGTCAGCTGTGCCACCACCAGAAGCAAGAAGTCCATGAAGATGGGTGACCATGCAATTTCTTTTACAGCAGCAGTGTGCTCACAATATTTTAGCACAGGTTCTGTTGAATGGTTGTTCCATACAAAAAGCTATCCAAGAAAAGATTCAATCAAGAGCCATTCTTTTTTTTTTTTTTTCCTTTTTGAGGTAATTAAACATAAAGCAAGCATTAAGTGCATAGTCTATTATCATTTCCACCAGATGCCAATTCAGGGTTGTCGCTCTAATGTTCATATTAACTCTTCTTGTTAAACTTAATCTAAAGCAAAGTTTTCTCACATAATGACAAATAAATTGTAGACTCCAGATCATATAATTTATTCACTGTTGAAAACACATACCAACAAAGAAATAAAGTACTGCAGCAACCTCATTGATGGTAATCAGGTTTTAATAATAATAATAATAATAATAATAATAATAATAATTATCTACTATACTATAAATATTGGGTCCATAGCAGGCACATTTAAATAGACTGCAGAGTTTTAGTTATGCTAAAAAATAGTGGCAATGCGGAGAAATAATAGTTTAACAAATAACCTAGTAGGGTAAATTGTTTGGCCGACAGGCTTCATTCAGAATTTCTTGATAAACAATGTTATCGGTGACATTTGTAGAACTTGTATCCCGACAGGCTTCAATTCTGTTTCTGGATCATCAGTTTCAGCTTCTGTCGACACAAAGGCTATATCTTTGCCTTTGGGGGCAACATTGTGAGTATAAGAGCAGCAGAACAAGTACATGTGGTTGTGTACATACATTCATGAGAAGAGAGTGGTTGGAAATTCAGTTCAGTTTCCAGAATGTGTGTCTGTGTGTGTAATACATGCATATATTATCCAAAATTCTCACAATTAAAAAAAATAGGCAAGTTGGGAGATTTAGGAAACACACATGTCTGATTTGTGACCAAGTTGTTTCTGTGGCAGAATAACCTGAGCAGAATGGGAGTCGTTTGTGTCAGGGATAGGATGGCTCATTATGCATACTGCACGAGCAACTTTTCCAACCTTATGGACCTGTAACATGCAATCTGGATTATGAACCAAAACTAACATTTGGAGGTGGAATGTTGAACAGTTTTGGCAGCAGATTTCTGTTAATATAATACCCTAGGAACCATACTAATTAGATTTCTGATAAGTACCTTATCAGTTAAATAGGTTGGATCACAAACAACTATCTTGCATTTAGCTGTTTCTCCTTCAGAGGTCACACCATAGGCTGTTCCACTGTCGTCGAACTCCATCTATAGTCCAAAAAGTTGCTTTATTTATGGAAACTTTGGGTACAATGAAATGTTTAAACACTGAGGATTTTAAACTTTGAATCTTCAAATGAGGAGGCAGACCAGCAGACTCAGGGTAGAGCAGGTAAAGTTTAAATTTGTTTTTTCAAAAACTTTTATACTATACCACATAAAAAGTTGGAACTACAAGCTTATGGGTCAACATGAGAATGATGAGTATAACAAACAACAATCTAGATTCCCCATATTAGGGCTTGCTAAGCATATGATAGATTGTGAATTCAGCCAATTTTCCTATGGGTTTACCTTACACTGAGGCTTGTTTAGCATGTATGTCCCACCATAAACTGCACTAAGACGTGTAAATGACTGAAAAACGTATACACATGTCAAAAGAAGCTAAACAAATTACAAATTTTTATTATATTAGGATCACTATTTTAAAAAAAGTAACACTGAAATAGTTAACGGGACAAAGTCACAAATGATTTGGATGGAGAGAGTATTTTATTTATTTTTTAACAGACACGTTAAGGTTTACAACAAATGGACACAAACCTGAGGCAACTCTCCCAGTCCATACATAGGATAGATATATGGAGACCCTGATTGAAAGCGTGCCAAGGACTCTGCATAAAGCTATAAGAAGGAAAAAAAAAGGTGTTCAGGATCCAATAGTGTATACAGTAATTTAACCACTGTAAATCAAAGGAAAACATATAGTATATGCTTTAAAGCTTAATTTAGTCAATCTACTATACTATAAATATTGGATCCATAGCAGTAGTTCTGGCACATTTAAATAGACTGCAGAGTTTTAGTTATGCTAAAAAATAGTGGCAGTGTGGAGAAATAATAGTTTAAGAAATAACCTAGTAGGATAAATTGTTTGGCGCTTCCGTCAGAATTTCTTCATAAACAATGTTATCAGTGACATTTGTAGAACTTGTATCCCGATGATTATTGCAAATTAACATCTTTACACAATCTGCTTTTTTTGCTCTTGATAAGGCTACATATAATTGACCGTGAGAAAATACTGGTTGTCTCAAATAAATCCCTACAAAATCAAATGTTTGCCCCTGTGCCTTATTTATTGTCATTGCAAAACACACTTTGATTGGGAACTGGTGGCGTTTAAATGGGATTGAGCATTTTTCATCCTTTGAGGCTTCAAGTGGGATCCTTGGTATGAAAATATGTTTACCGAAGTGTTCCCCAGAAGCAATGACACAACGTATAACATGATCACGAAAGTCATCGCATATTAACCGTGTACCATTACATAGTCCTTCTGCAGGATTAATATTCCTCAGCAACATTACAGGGCAATTCTTTTTCAGGATCAACTTGTGAGGAGGTAGACCAGGTACCGAGATAGTATGCAAGAAGTCAGCAAAATCATGGGGGGAAGTAGAATCCAACAACTCATCATAACTGACATAATATTTTTCCTCTCCAGGAAATCTAGCAATTAAGGTGTTGTTAATTTCATCCACGTATTCATTCTTTGGGGTCAATATACCTCTCTTCATGAGTGGATAAGGATCACAACTGAAGTTCATTAAATCTGGGAAAACTATGTTAATTAATGAATTATAAGACTGTAATTCATTTGTATATGGGACAAGGAATGTTTTTGGAATTTCAATTGAATTGTCAACAACACATTTTTCTGTTCCATTGCCCACGCGCATTAAGTATTCGCAAAAAGATGGATCTTCTTTAGCACGCATGTTTTCTGTCAAAACCAATCTCTCAACCACTGACCAAATTTTCCTGGATTTTACCAAACTTGCTTCTATGAAATCCCTTTTGCTTCCCGATCTTATTACAAGTAACGTCTGGCGAAAATCACCTCCAAAGACTACAACTTTGCCACCAAAGATTTTGTCACAATTTGTGATATCTCTCAAAGTTGTTTCAACATTTTCTATGTCTCTACGATTTGCCATTGTTGCTTCGTCCCATAGAATCAACTTGCACTCTCTAAGAAGTGCGGCTTCGGCACTTTGTTTCCCGATATTGCATACAAATTTATCATCTCCATTAATTGGTATTTTAAATCGAGAATGAGCTGTTCGGCCTCCTGGTAGAAGAGATGCAGCTACACCAGATGTTGCAGTTGCAAGTGCAATGTCATGGTTTGATCTCACTTTAGCCAAAAGGCACTTGTATAGAAACGTTTTTCCAGTTCCCCCAGGGCCATCAACAAAGAATACTCCTCCAGAACTTGAGTAAACCCGCGCAATTATAGTGTCAAAGGCTGCTCGTTGACTTTGATTCAACTTCGTAATAGCAAGTAAATCAACTTCATTTGGCAACAAATTCTTTTCTGCTTGTATTTCTTTGTGTATTCTTTGTTGTTTTGTAAGGCCAATATAATAAGAAACTAACGCAAAGTCATTGATATTTTTCCCCAAAGATTCAAGTACATCACTTATCATATGGAGACACTTATTTTCAGCATCAATTATATTCACAGATGAGGAAATTAGGTCTTCACAAAGATGTTCCTTGTATTTTATCCACAAACCACGGGGAGATGGAATATCACAAAAGACCAACATCGTAGCAAATAACCTTCGAAAACTTGTAGGCATTTGCCAACACATAGCTTCCTGCAGACATTGATCTATCACCCGATCACTCTGCAACAATCCCAATTTCTCTGCCGCTTCTCTAAAAGTTGTAGTCATAGATTCACCAACCATTTTTAAGTGTTCATATGATTTTGGTGCCCTGACATTCATCAACAACATTCTCAAATAATATCTCTCTCCTTCAGTGAGATTAACACTTACCAGCCGCCCTACAACTTCCCCTCTTTGCCTTGGATACCAGTGTTTATCTTTGTTTGACCAAACAAAGTACTCAGGAAACTCAGCATACAATAAGTTCTATCTCTTAGCTGTTTCATTAGTCGTATTCATGAAAAAAAATTGTGTTAACATCGTCTTTGAGCTAAGTTGATTATCCACAAGATCACTCAAAGCTTGTTTTCCATCAAACCTCATGTACTGGTAGTTCTCCAAATGAATCTGCAAGTCTACTACGCATGGTTTTATTTCAGCAAGGCTAAACCCATATATTCTCCATGCAGCTTTAGGAGGTGATACCCATCTTGCATTTTGGTATTCTTTTATTTCATCAAAGTCAATGATCTCTTCTCCAGAAGATAAATTAAATGCAACTCTATCATGACCTTTATATATATACTTGTATATGTACTTTACGCACTTAATAGTTGCACAAACTTCAACATTGATATGACAATCAAATTTAGATAACAAATATGAGTTATATGGTATCACCCATTTGTTGTCCAATTGGTGGCCACGAACGGTAACAAACCTTGAATTGTCCCTGCGCTTATAAGTAGGATATGAATTCTCTCCCAAAACTGTTGCATCAGAAAATCTCTTGGGATATTTACTTTTGCAAAGTGAAACACTGGAATTCTCAACCATACATGGATTTTGAGGATTCAGAGGACCACATGGTCCATGTATCATGTGTTTTGCCACTAAAGAGTGCAAAGAAGGGTTTTGAACTGCGTCAGGTATTTCTGCACTAACAATTGCATCAACATCCCTACCCGAGTAAAATTTGTGGGTTTTCCCTAAGATTAATAAGAAATGAGCATGTGGGAGGCCACGCTTTTGGAATTCAATCACATAAGTGTATGCTATCACCACTCCAAAAAGTTTTTTCTTTAGGAGGTCAACTTTCAATTCTTCCAACTTAGCACGAAACACTCTTGAAATCAAATCAGGCCTATTTTGAGATTCATCACAATATTGAAGCGAATTTTTAATCTCAGGCCAATTTGGGTTACACGTCATTGTCAAAAAAATATCTGGCTTACCATACCGTTGAACCAATGTCATAGCATTCATATATCTTTTACGCATATCTCATGGGCCTCCAATGAAAGATACCGGTAAAATTACTCTGCGTCCCACATTTGATGCATTTGTTTCCCCACATGCAATGCTATCCACTAATCCTTGCATACTTTCTGTTCGAACATCACGCTGCTGTGTTCGAAAATAGTCCAATCTCTGTGTCTCAATTTTGATATAGGTGTCAACAATGAATTGTTGAAAGAGTCTTCCTGAATGTAGGAGCATAGATTGATCGTTTGGTCGAATTTGAAAATGATAAGCATAATATTCTCTGCATGAAACAGTGTTCCGCTTGCTCTGACCAACAAAGTTTTCGTTCTCTTTGTTTAACAAAGCTTGTATTGAAGAAAACCCCCGAGGCTGGAGAATACCTTCACAAATAGAATAATTATTTTGATAAGATTTAGGAACCTTAGATATTCCCTCGTGCCAACCACTCTCTCCGTAGGGGAACAACAGGGGATATTGCAAGGGATCATAACAACCGTAATAGTATTCCACAGAATGTGATTGGCCAGTTTTTGCAAAAACTCTAATATCACGATTGTTCTGACCACTACCATCTTGTTCATCTACCCAAATTGCTGCAACTTGAGAAGAGGTAGGCATGTTGTAAACACGTTGATCTAGACTTGCATTTGAACGAATCAGAATATTACAATCATCAAGACTTGATATATCTTTGAGATTTCTGAAGAACTGTGAATACGGATTGCTTCCAAGTACGTCAATAAGGTTTTCAACAACACTTGCATCCATTCGTTCTGCCCCTTTGATTCTATTCTCAACCTCATGGTCAGTATCAAAGAAATACAATTGCAAGTTTTTAGGAGGTTGGTCCCCTGGCACCAAATCATTGATAAAATGATACATTTTTCCTTGAACTTTAAATGTATAGATCCCTTTATTCCTCCTAGATAATTGTTTGTCGTAGTTGTGTATGCCTAATGAAGTAAATGCAAATGTGTTGTTATACGTTCTAACACATGCTTGAAAATGACGTGACACTTCATCTTTCTCACAAAACAATTGTTTCAAGAGTGAAGGCATTTCATTAGACACCAAAACAACTTGACCAGATGAGCAACAAAATCTAGGTGGTTCATATTGGAATCGCCTTGCATTACAATAGGTGCAAGGAAGACAATCTTTAAGAACAAAAGATTGGTCTGGAATAGAAGAAAGAGTATCGTTCCGTTGCAAACATTCCTGATTAGAATTATTGAGAATTTCTAATTGCATAATCAACTGCATCAATCAAAGCCATGTTAAATAAGTTAGCTCCCTTGTATATACGTTCATGAATTTAACTCAGACAGAACACATATTTTAAGAATTAAAAAGCATACCAGTATTGACGGCATGAAGTTGCAAAGACTGGGCTTCTCTAAGTTTGGCTCGACGCTTTTCGTTTTTCTCATCTAACATCTTTCGTTTTTTATCAGGATCCATTATTGAGTATGCATTTCGTCGTTTCAAGTTGTACTCCACTCGTTGACTCTCTGCATTGCTAGATTCAGCAATTCCAGAACGCCCTGACTCCATAAAGAGAGATGCTAAAAAAATGAAAAATTAAAAAAATGGTCATAACTAAAAACAGAAAAAACCGACAAAGCAAATTCTCTCATCAGTAAGAAATTTGAGTATAGGACCTGGGATTACTGCCCCGGAATGAAACCTGAGGATCACACAACCTAACGCGAAACACAACATCACTAACACTCAAATTTTGCTTTGAAGGTAATAACACCCGGGTTTGTTATATTCGGATCTAAAGCTCTTCTATCTGCACCTTCAATCAAGGTACATTTGTAAAGGATGTGAACTAATGGCTATAAATTGTGAGTTGCGACTGTTTGAACCGGTTTACAATATACAGGTTTTGATATCTTTTCCTTTCTACTTTCTAACTGAAAACTGTTATTCTCTGCAAATTCGTTGGCTGATTGTGACCTCTCTTGAGGCATTGTGGTTTTGTGGGTTAGGCTTGTTACCATCCAATACTGGTGTATAGGGTGAGTTTAGATTAGTTTGGAACTGAGATTTCATCTATAACTCTGTGAGCTTGGTGTATGGACTTTCTATTTATTACTAAAATCAAATAGTAAATATCACTTCAATATTACCTATTTAAAAGGAAATATATAACTCGCTTGCTTAGCAATATCTCTCTGTCCCTTGATGCTTCCTCAGATTTAGATCCTTCCAAGGTCCAAATCTCTTGTAGGGCAGATAAACAATTGGAAACAACCTGATGAACAAGAAAGAGGAATACAGTCCAGGAATCTGATTTGAATTTATAAGTATAATCAAAGAAGCTTAATAAGTACAGGACATATATGTATGCATGAATCTAAACAACTGAACAAATAAAATGGTCACATGTGCTTTCAGCTATTTAAACAGAGGTTGGAGCTATGTTACAGCACTGGAATTCATCTATTTTTGTGATCAATCTACACTATAAGAATAAGAATGAACTAAGTGGAAGAATTATCTATACAATATATGACTATATCTAGAAGATGAAAGATTATACTTTTAATTAAATTGTATTGGATGTTTTTTTTAGAATCTAACTAATAAACATGTATTTGAAGGATCAGATTTCAGATGCTCAAACTTCAGTCCGGCACCATAGAGAGGGATACTGATTTCCTTTCAAATATCCAAGAGCTCCTTAAAATATAGAATCAGAGGAAGGAGTTTTGTTTCCTTATCGATGCTTGAATAATTCATGGAAAAACAGAATAATAGAACCCCTTTGGGGATTAAGGTAAACACATACCTTTTCCCTTTTAATGCTGCTATATCGATGCTTGAATAATTCATGGAAAAACAGAATAATAGAACCCCTTTGGGGATTAAGGTAAACACATACCTTTTCCCTTTTAATGCTGCTATTAGGATTCTTATCTGATACAATTGATTCAGCAAGCTCTTCAAGAGGGATTTCTGAACCTGAAACGAATAACAATACAAAAACTGAAATTAGAAGAAACACAAATTTGCATGCCTGACTGAGATTGATATCGGCAGTCTAATCGGCTGAGCTTTTGATATCTATTTACCTTATTATATTATTAGGAGCTTTCAATTGGTTCGGAGGAGGTGAAGACGGGTGAGTCGGCTGTGGAGATCAAGTAGTCGATCGGGTGAGTCGGCTGTGGAGATCAAGTAATCGATGAGGGAAATTTGGCAAAATTCTGGAATTCGGCTGTGGTGAGATATACGGTGAGATTGACTTAACGGCAAACTAACGGTTAATTAAAATTTTTAACGGATGGACTAACGGTGTGTGGGTATTTAAGTAAATTTCATTGAAAAATTAAAATCTGATTAATTTTATGATTAATCTGAGCCATTCATTTGATTAAAAACTGTGGCGGACATTTTTTCTACCCATTTTAGGCCTAACCCTCTTGGGCTCTTATTAGTATAGTAGATATATATGTGCTATGTGCAAAATGTGATTTAATATGTTAATTGTATGTGTGTTCCGTATATATATGCAGTGTATGTGATATAAAGTGCCATAAATTGTTTTAAAAATCTAGAAATTAATATTTTTGTTAGTTTCTAAAATATTCTGGAATCTGATTAATGTGCTTTTTTATATAAAGTTGTTTCTAATTATAATTTAGGAATGTGTGTTAATTTTGTTAGTTTCCAAAATGTGTTTAATTTTTGATTGGAAATTACCGTGTATGAGTTTAATATAATTGGTATGTGTGATTAATTATTTGTGAAGTAATTTTTGCTACTAACGAGATGTTTGAGTGTTATTATGTTTGTGGTACACGATTTTGAGAAGGAAATCAGGAGACAAAGGAGGAAAATTAGAGTTTAATTGGACATCAAACCTCCACCCATAAACTCCTACCCTTTCTAAACCTCCACCCAACCTAAACCTCCCCCCATAATCCTCTCCTAAATCAAATCTTTCCAAACAAGATTTACCCCCTCTCTCAATCGACACCCCCATCTCGCCTGTCAGAAATCTACACTCTTAATCGATCCCCACAAACAAATCTCAAGGAGATCAGAACCCAAATCCTTCCTAAGTGTCTCTTCAAATCTCCTCCCTCTACACCTTACGTGCATTGGGTATTTCTAAAGAGGTGTGAGCATTAAATGCTCTTGTCTGCTCATGATGACATTTTCTCTTTCCTCGTAACACTCTCTATCAGATGACTCATCTACCCTAAACTCACCCAATCGACACACCTCAATCAAAGGGTACAATTGAGAAGTCTCATATCTCTCTTAAATCCGAAAAACCCCTTCAAGTCATCCTCCTCATATAAACCCCTCTCCTATATCTCAAAAACTCTTTCAAGACCTTCAGAATATCAGAAAACTCTCTCTCAATTTATCTCTCCTCGACCAATCGATCTGATCATCATGGCTCAATCTGGAAGAAAGCAAATTGATCCTATTTTTGCCCTCTCGCAACAAGTGACGAATGGGATGGTTCTCAATCCTAAGTTTTTCAGACTAGGTTCTACCGACAAGGACACGGCCGAGAAAATTCTTCAAGCTTTAAAAGACTGTGGACTGTTTGATTTCTTCACCTACAACTACTTTGGAACCTTTGAAGAAGATGTAGCCGAATTTTATCTACATGCAGTCGTTGAAAAGGACTCGATTAAATCTAAAGTTGGAGGATCAGAAGTTTCGATCACTGAAGATGACATACACAAGTGCTTCAACTTTCCTGAATCTCAGATAATGCCAGAATCTCACAGCTATGTTGTTCAAAATTTTTGGAACGAGATTCGTGGTCCTACGGCTCCAATTTTCTCTGATGTATCCGCTCATAAGAATGTTTTGAAGTTTGAATATGAGATGTTGGTGGACATGATTTACAAGATTCTTGAACACAAACTGGGTAGTACTGAAGATTTGACCGCGTCAACAGTGTGCCTGATGGACGGAATCATGAAAGGAATAAAATTCAAATGGGCAAAATTTATCTACAGGAAGATGGTTGTTTTTGTTCATGCTGCCAAACCAATGAAGAAACCCGCTGTAGTAGACCGATTCTATCAAAATGTTGGATATGGTCTCATCATTGGAGAACTGCTAAGGAAGAAGACAATTCCAATGAGAAAACACAAAAATATTGGAATTTACAGAGCTCTCTTCAGAAAATTTAGTCCTAATTTTGGAAAAAGGTCAAGCCAGAGAAGAGGACAAGAAGGTGGACGTTCTACAAGTTCAAAAACACCTCAGAGCTCCAGACCGAGAAACAACAAAGCAATCTCAACCTCAAGTAATCAAATGGGATCAAGCAATCGATCAGGAAGAGATCAAGAAGCCATCAGCACGGCTATGGCAGTTGTTCCGATCAAATATGCCGAACCAAACGTGTTGGCCGAAGGAGTTGATGATACTACAAGAATGGAATTTGCAGGAGTTGATGTGCAAATTTTGAATGATCTACAAAGAAGGCTCTCGAGTCAATCTGCAGCCGAAGGAAGTGCAGGACCTATAGTTTTTGACTCAGCGCTCATTCAAGATGATCCAGAGCTGTTGAAAGAATTGATAATGGTGCAAACTTGGAAAGAATGGAAACTTGAAAGATATCATTCTTTCATGTCAAAAATCACCCCAGATTTGATACGGAGTGAAGATTTTTCCTTGGAATGGTGTGGAACGAACGTGATGCTAGATGCACTCAACATGGATTTAAATCAAGTGTATCACATGAAGCTACACGAGAAGGCAGCCAGACAAAAAGGAAAAGCACCAATAAAGGGAAGCAGTACGGCTTAAGACCGTTTAGCCGAACAAGAACGACAGAATGAAATTTCACTTCAGTTAGCTCTGCAAAGGTCAGTTTATGACACACATCATTATCCAGGTAACACATCTCTTGTGGATAGTGAAATTTTTGATGAAAGAACTGAAGGGACGACACTCATTGATGTACTAATCATAAGCACTGAAAATCATATGGACATACCTGTGAAAGTCCATGATGCTTCTTTATTGATATCTGATTTGACCCCCACACCAATTAATGTGAATCTGGAGTGCAATGAACAACTTGTGGGAGCCAATGAAGAACAAGTGTCAGAAGAAAGAAGAAGAGATATACCAGTGGAAGTTGCAGTAGAAGTTGCTACTGAGAGTAGACTGCAAATCACAGAGGATTTATCTAGTGTATTGCCGGTACACCATACCGAGTTTACCATGCCTATCATGGACCCTATTCTAGAAAATGAAGAATTATTTGCAGACAACTACACAAGAACAGAAGTCTTAGAAGAACAAGTTGGTGATCTAAATCAAGAAGCCGAATCACCTGAAGAAGAAGGGATGCAACTTATTGATACAGTTATTCTCACAGATCCAAATAAAAGTCCATTCGGATCTCCTCAAAATTTTGTGCAGATGGATGAACAAGAAGATGACATATTCTCATCCTTATTTGCCAAAGTTGCCGAATCCAGTGATGTTGTTTGTCAAACTATTGGAGAAAAATTGGTTGAACAAAACCAAATGCTAGAACAACAACACACGGATACCCGAGTCAATCTGAAAGAATTAATGGAGCATCAAAATTCTTTGAAGACTCAGATTGACAAAGCAGAAAGAATCTTGAAAGGAGAAGTGACGAAAGGCTTACTTGAAGTCATTCAGCTCATGAAGAAGGAGCGTGAAGCAGCTGAAAAGATTCACAACGAACGTCACTTGCGACAAATCAAGGCGATTCAAGATCAAGAAAGCCGAATCAACAAACTTGAAGCTGAACTCGCAGTTACAACAAACAAGCTGGACAACGTGCAAACCGTTTCCATTGAAACGCACAACAGTGTTGAAACTGTGAAGGCAAACCAAGACCGAGATTTTAAGACCCTTGCATTTTTGGTTGATAACGCCAAAAGGGGGGAAGAAATTCTCAGTCACTTGGCTTTGCAACAACAAGAATTTATTCTTGGAAGCCAACAACAACCAGTAAAATCTACTCAAGGTAGAGGCCGAAGCCGCGGACAAACCTCAAAAGAACCATCTCCGATTGGTTTTGCTCAGTTCGCGAATCCTAGTCTTGGTACTACATCAAAAGTTGCTGAAACTCGTGGCTGGCTTGAATGCTCTAAGGGTACCGCCACTCAGACAACAATATGGACCAAAGAAAATTTACCAAGCATGATCAAGAAATGGCCTGCCGCCGATCAAGCCCAATGGATCTCGGAGAAGAATAAAGAAGAAGAAGGCAAAAGGAAAAGAACCGAGATGTGGTATGAACTAAGAGATTTCACCGGAAATATGGGCATGAATCTTGGAGAAGAAAGAAACTTCGAAGAATGTGTCTTATGGTGGGAAAACGGAGTTCTTCCGGGCAACAATATCAAAGAAGCTTATGGATACTATATGGCCGGACAGCTTACAAAGAAATTTCAGAATGCAAAGTTCAAAGATGATTTCTTCAAACTCAGAGAACATGTCAAGGAAATTCTGAAGAAAGACTTTGGTGTGAAGAAACCCAGAAGGTAATCTGAAAATTTTCTTAAGCTGATATTTTCTATTTTCGAACCTCTGTTGCGTTTTTCTCAATATTTTCGAAGTATATCAATAATAATTTCCCATGGTCTATTTTGAGTCTTTAATTTTATTTGTTTAATGTAATTAGACTTTCGTGAATTAAAAGACAAGAAATATGTCAAACGCACGACAAAATTAAAAATTGATGATGATCAAAATAAAAATAATTCAAGATGCGTTTAGGAGCTTGTCTAAAAATTTAATTCACAAGTTTCTTTTGATTGTGTCTAGAAAACCATTTGTTAAACTCATCTTGGCTTTGTCAAATAAAATTGAGCAAAAAGATTATTTTTCAAAGACTTAAAGCCAATGACTGAGTATAGGTTTTGGCATTATCAAAAGGGGGGAAATTTTTAGGAACAAAGTGTAATGGTTTTGATATGCCAAATTTGTATTTGTAGATCCCCCAAATTTTATTTATAGGTCTAGTAGAGTCTTAGACCGTGATCGTGAAATTATTTAATTATGAAAAGAGAAAAACAGAGGAAGATGGATGAAAATAGAAGAAGAAGATATAAAGCCGAAAATCCAGAATTTGTCTGGAGAAAATGACAAATTGAAGAAGAAGATGAATGATACAATATTGACGTCGCTACTACTCAAAGAAGATATCCCAGAAGAATTTTCGTGAAGAAAATTAATA